AGATATGCATGTATGTGAGTGCGTGCCTTTATATTGTATGTGTATAGATATCTTTAGTATCAATTATCGCACAATCAAATTGTAGTCTGCAGTTGATTAATATCAAGAATACAAGTCAATGCTTCATACATGTAACACATTAATAACTAACGAAATATCACAAAAAACTTTCGCAAAAATCTAAAATATAAAAAGTTTAATATATGACAAAATATTATTATATTGTTATTTTATTATTAATAAATACTTCTTGATCGTAACATCTTGCTAAAAATATATGAAAAATTATTTACCGATTAATCCACCTATTTTATTACACAACATTGTGCACAATCTGTATATAATCAAAGACATTTAATTTATATATAGAATAAACCAAAAGTATCAATGTATCATAAGTCTGGGTGCAATATTCATTGCCATGAGCTCCTGGAAGAGCAACTTTGCTGCATATGGTAGTCTAATTTGGGAAATCTGTGTCTTGTTTTTACATCCTTTACATTCAAAGGTATTGTTTCGTAAATTTGCTATGGCAATTAAGCCACAGAAATTACAGATATGAATTCGATACGGATCTGACACTTCAAAGAGACGTTCTCGCAAAAATTGTGCCGCACCGTGAGAAATTTGACAATCCCGTTCCATCTCTCCGAAACGAAGTCCTCCATCCCTATACAAATATGTGAGCACTAAATATTCGTATACAACAGTATAGTTAATTATATTAGAGATTATATAACGCGCAAAATTACCTTGCTCGACCCTCCATAGGTTGTCTAACTAAAATTTGCACAGGTCCTCTCGCTCTACTATGAATTTTATCGTCTACCATGTGCTTCAAGCGTTGGTAATACGTCGGTCCTAAAAAGACTTGCGCATTAATCTTGCGACCTGTGTGTCCATTGTACATCACTTCATTTCCTCGCAACTGGTAACCATATTCTTGTAGAAGTGTAGAAATCTTTTGCACATTTACGGCATCATTAAATGGGGTAGCATCACCAATCTCTCCTAAAAATATACATTAAAATCATATATATATGATATATCTTAGAATACCTTATTTTTAACTGAAATGAAAACTGTATTACCTTTGTTGGCAGACACTTTTCCCTGTATGCACTCTATCAAGTGACCGATAGTCATACGTGAAGGAATAGCATGGGGGTTAATAATAATATCAGGGGTAAGACCCTCGCATGAGAACGGCATATCTTCTTGCCTATACTGAATGCCGCATGTACCCTTTTGTCCGTGACGCGACGCAAATTTATCACCAATTTGTGGAATACGTACGCTGCGTACTCGAATTTTGCAAAATTTATATCCTTCACTGTTCAACGTCAACATTACTTGATCGACTATGCCAGTCTCACTGTTTCGCAAGAAAGTCGAAGCGTCCCGTTTTGTAAAACGTTTCGTCGTACTATCTAACTGAAAGCATTGACGAAAAAGAGATAAAATATTACTTTATTATCTTTATATATATTAATCAAATAATACAATATTTGTTATTAAAGGAGATAATCAATTTACCTCGTCGTCTGTTTCTGGCAAAGTAATTGTTTTTCCTATAATTACATCATCGCCCGATACTCGAATACCAGGAGCAATGATTCCGTCGTCATCCAATTTATCGTATATAGCATTACGCATTCCTTGGCAAGTTAAACGTGAAGGTTTTTCAAATTGTTCTTCCTGATCGCCAATTTTTTTCGACTCAGCTTCCTTATAAGAGCGATAAAACACCGATCTAAAGAAGCCTCTTTCGACAGCGCTCGCATTCAAAATAACGCTATCTTCTTGATTATATCCCGTGTAACACAAGATCGCGACGATACTATTGATACCCGCTGGTAATTCACGGAACCTAAGATATTCCATGGATCTCGTCGTGACCAGAGGTTTATGAGGATAATACAGTACGTGAGCTAAAGTATCCATGCGCACGTGAAAATTTGTTATATATACACCCATAGCTTGTTTACCCATAGCGCTCTGAAAAATGATATAGCCGCTTTTACATATTATATTCCGCAAACAGGAAAGGTCAAAGGAAAATATATATATAACGAATCGGATTAGATACCTGATAAGTATTTCTAGGACTTTGATTATGATCGGGGAATGGTATAATGGAAGCGCACACGCCCAAGATCATCGCTGGATGAATTTCACAGTGCGTGTACGTTGTACAATATGCATATTCTTTGTCCTGTTTAAGATCATCAGGTGACATGGCTATCATAACAGTTTCTTCTTCCAGTGTGTCTATATATTCTACTACACCGCTACCTACTAATTCTTGCCAGCTGTAACATAAGATAAATTAATGCGCATTGTTGCACCAATTAAAAAGCAAATGAATCATACCGAGCGCTCACCCGTCGTTATTATAATCTCTTTCTTTCAACATATCAATGTGTCTCTTTTTCAATAACAGGTTCTGTCCTTCCACTATGAGCAAAGGCCTACTAATCCTTCCAGCATCTGTGTATATTCTTATTTCACGATCTCTGATATCACGAATCATGGATACTTCTGACACGATAATGTCCATCTGTCTTCTCAATTTGCGTAAAGTAGCCATTAATTGATCCGGATCTCTGTGAATGCCGACCCAGCATCCATTTACAAATATCTTCGTAGCATCGGCGATAGCGCTCGGTGCTATTTCTTCGAGATTCTCCATGGACCATTCCTCCAAGAATTCAAGAATAGGAGAAGGCTGCGAACCGACGCTTATGTACGCCATCAAAGCTAAATTTTTCACCAATCCTACAGCAGCACCCTCGGGAGTTTCCGCGGGGCAAAGCATACCCCACAATGTATTGTGTAATTGACGTGGTTTGGCAAGTTTACCGTCTCTTCCAATAGGAGAGTTTACTCGCCTCAAGTGCGATAACGTCGATGCGAAAGTCAATCTATTCAACACTTGTGATACGCCCGCTCTTGCCTGATGCGCTTTCTTCTGATCGCCCCAATTTCCCGTAGCAAGCGAATATCTTAGACCGTCAGTGATAATTTTCGTCTTAATAGCCAGTTCGAGATTAAAATCTTTTCCCCGATCTATAAATTTCTGTGCATACAAACGTACTTCTTTCATTAGATTTTTAAATAACCCACGAAATAAAAACGCTAACAGAGGCCCGGCCAAATCCAATCTCTTATTGCCGTAATGATCACGATCGTCTAATTCTCTTCGTCCTAAAGACGCTGATAATAATCTGTGTACCATGTAACCAAGGAAATAAGCCTTTTTAGTTTCACAAAAATCGCTTATGCCAACATGCGGCAGCATCTCCTTTTGTAAAATTTCTCTAGCGTACTTAATCCGCTTTTCCTTAGTTACGCCCGGCTTGGCACCTCTCGTACCGATAAAATTCAAGGCCACATTTTGTTCCTGTATAACAAAAGCTTCATCTAAAGATGGCTTGACCATTTCCATCATTTCCGGATCGTCGAAATCGTAAATAATATGTTCGAGGATATCGCGGTCAGCTACAAATCCAAGAGCTCGAAAGACTACCATTATAGGTATTTCTTGTTTGATGTATGGAATGATGGCGATGATGCGTTGACCTATAGCAGACTTTTTAATACTAGCACCACTCTTAGCCATCATATTAATCCATAAAGTTGAAGTAGGTCGCGAACTATGTTCCAAACACGATCTGATTTCCGCCTTGTAAGCATATTTACCATCTTTCATACTGAATACATAAACAGTATTTGTTGCCATTTTCTCTTGAGCAATAAGAACCTTTTCTGAACCATTAATAATAAAATATCCACCGGGATCTAACGGGCATTCATTTAATTCCGTTAAATCACGATCAGATAAGCCAGCGAGCAAGCAATATTTTGATCTTAACATAATTGGTATTTTGCCAATAAATGTCTTCTGATGCTGCGTTTCAACAGGATCCTCGCCATCCTTTACGATAGTTTTAGTAATGTCTACATACAATGGCGCAGAATATGTTAAATTTCTCAGTCTGGCTTCATTAGGCATCATAGGAGATGGAGCACCATCTTTCTCCCAATGAGTCGGCTTGGATAAATAAATTTGTTCAAATTTCAATAAATGTCTCACAGGATTTTCTATTTCGCCTGTAGTATGTTGTGCTTCTGCTTGCAAATCAATTTGTGGTGAATCTTCTACTATGCGTTGAACAGACATTTCGATGAACTCGTCGAAACTATCTAATTGCTGTCGTACAAGTCCCTTCTCATCAAAATACGCGTTAATAAGAATCCAACAGGCTTCTTGCCAAAGTTTCGACGAAATTTCTTCCGCATCCTCATCATCATATTGATCTAAAATAGAAAAAAATGAATTAGAAATTATAAATTACAGATTTTAACCGGTAAATTATAGGTAAATGAAAAGGCACTTATATATACGTTTCTTTTTCTTAATTATCTGTATATCCTTAATCTTATCGTTTGAATTCACTTACCGTCCTCGATAGCAAATATATTGCTCATTTTTGACAAAGATAATCTTTGTACGAGCCTAATTTAACGTATAAGCAACTTATAGCAACGTACATACAAATGTAAAAACAACTTGAAAGTACTGCATTAGTACTACAGTACAGGGTGCAGGTGCACTAAACAGGACAGAAGAGAATCCGGGACTGTGAAATACTATAGATTGAAGCTATTTATCGAATCCAGCGATAACTCTTCTAACGCCCTCTGTAAGTCGAGAGTCGACAGGATAGAAATTCTCTAATCAGAGTTGCGCCATGACGAGATGAAAAATGGCGGACCAATTACAAGAGACCCCTTGATGGCATAACTCCGATTATAGAATTTCTACCTTACTGGAAAACACTCGATGCATATATAACACACAATTTTAAAATTGACATCTTTTTGCACTAATTTTACACACGCCGCTTGCGCACACATAAAATAATTTTCTTAAAAGTTCTACAATTTTAGGAATTTTAGGTCTCTTTAGGAAATATAATAGCAGATACAAGATACGATTTTTGTATTTCAAGATGTTTTTTTTATTAATGGCCCATAATTATAAACTTATTTAGCTTTCTTGCTTTTAATCTTCCTCATATAGAACTCAAGTTCTTTGCCTTCCAAGATGTAACCATCAGATCTACCACATTGGCCAGGTCTGCTCGCTATGCAAGCTAAAATTGAAATAAATTATCACTTTCATCAAATTCAATATATAAGATAACATAAAGCAAGACAATAAAAAGTATTTTGTAATTATCAATAAACTTCTTTAATGCTTGATAAAAAATGCTGATATTCGAAAAAACATTAATATTTAAATTTTGTAAAAAATTAATTGTAGAAAAATAAAATATTCATACCAAGGACACGTCCCGTTGCAAATTGTTCTTCCAAAGCAGGTTCAACTTTGGCAAATCGCTGCCTAGCTTTGTATTTAGTTTCTGCCTTCTTGGAACGCTTTTTATTCAATACTTCCTCCTCAGCTTCGGTCTAGAAAAACAATTATATTTTATGTTACTTTATTCTAACATTCCATATATTTAAATCAAGTTATATTTTAGTACTCACCAGTTTAGCACCTCTTTTACGACCCAATGGGAGAACATAATGACCTTCGTACCATTGTCTGAATGGCGTGGCATCAATAGTGACAATGGCATTTTTCACCAAAGTTTTGGTTCTTACTAATTCATTGTTTGATGCGTTGTAAACAACATCAATGATACGAGTTTTTCTGGTACTGCATTCAGAGCCCCAGGAAAAATTTCCTGTATCCAATCTAAGAGCTCTGTATTTTTTATTACCTCCTCGTGTACGGACCTGATACATACAAGATATTTATAACTAAGTTTAAAACAATTCTGATTTAAATTTTAAATATGTTATACAATTAAAATTTAAATTAGAGAACATTATAAAATTATGGTTGATCATGGAACTCAGAATAGATAAGGAAGTCATCACAAGCGTGTTAATTATACATTATTAAAAAAAAATACTATTCTATAAATAATTATAATAATATAGATATATTTGATATAATGCCTATAATCCCTAGACTCCAGTTTTGTAATATTTATACTCAATTATTGTATGATACTCTTTTATTTTTACAATTTATTTGTCATCAAAGTTAAATTTAAACTTACAGTATGAATTCGCTGCGGTCCAAGCTTGGTATTTGCAGCTGGACGTCCTAATTCAAACTTCCTCTTCTTACGAAGAGGCTTTCTCTTCCCACCAGTAGCTCGTCTTTTATGCCAATGATCCCGAGAAATACCTGTAACGCAATATTGATAAATATAAAATAAGAATATGTTGTATCTCTCTCTTTCTCTCTCTCTTGCACGAGATATTTTAATCTCTAACCAAGTATGCCACATTGATATCATGGCACTTGTTCTTGCTCTTACATTAAACTGTAATAGTTTATAACTATCCCAATAATTAATATATGTCTACTTTTGTCAATAATATGCCATTCATTGTTAAATAAACAGAAATATAAATTGTGATATAAATTATCATTCAATATCGCTGTATGGCACCGACGTCTTCAAAGTAAATTTTTTTATAAATAAAGTATAAAAATATAAAAATAATATTTTTTCCCGAAATAAAGAAGTCTGATTTACGCGATATTAATGCCTCATCGCGATATTGTAATGATAAATCATGGATTTGCATTGATACGAATATAATTGTGTTTCTTACCCATCGTGTCGTTACATCGAACAACATGGAAAGAACCCAAAACTGCACAATACTAGAGGCGCATTCGCCTATCGGATATTGTATGTATTAAGTGATAGAGGTGCGCATGCGTTCACGATTTGGAATCACTTTCTCTTATATAATCTTTATACTTTATGCTTATTACATTTTTGTATATAAAATGCAAATGTACGGATATGTCAATATATATTGAATATATTATTTCAATATAATTAAAATCTCTTATATAAAAGCTTATTATCATTTTTTCAATCCAAATAATTATTAAAAATATATAATCGTAATGACTACCGATATAGTGGCAACATTAAAAGAGCCGAGAATGATAAAAATATGTGCTCCGATGGTTAGATATAGCAAGTGAGTCAATAAAGTGACATTTTTTAAAAGCGAATGTCTTATGTAGATTATATTATTATTTTTTTCCATCCATGGTTATAGATTACAATTTAGAACGCTTGTAAGACGATATGGATGTGACATATGTTTTACTCCTATGATCTTAGCTGATTCGTTTGTGCAATCTTTAAAGGCTAGAGAAAACGAGTTTACTACGCATGAAGAAGATAAACCATTAATCGTTCAATTCGCAGCTAAAACTGTAAATGATTTTGTTGGTGCCGCAGAAATGGTTGCACCGTAAGTTTATTATACATTATAGTTATTTACACATATATTTCTATGCAATAATATCAATGTTGAAAATGCTTCTTTTTTGTACTTATTTTATATATTTTGTAATTAATAGATATTGCAATGGTGTAGATCTAAATTGTGGTTGTCCGCAACGTTGGGCTATCAAAGAAGGATATGGAGCTGATTTATTGAAAAAGCCAGAACTTGTAAGAGATTTGATATATGAAATCAGAAACCGTATTCCAAGACCATTTACTGTTTCTGTGAAGATACGTCTGTTAAAGGATATACACCAGACAATAATGTTATGTCAAGTCTTAGAAAAAGCTGGTGCTTCATTCTTAACAGTCCATGCAAGAACTCCTGAGATGCGTAATGAACCAATTGACTTGGACAATCTAAAGCTTCTTAGAGATTATGTACAGTTGCCTCTTGTTGCAAATGGTGATGTGAAAAATTTAGAAAATGCAGAATTTTTATTTAAGGAGTCTAGATGCGAGGGAGTAATGTCTGCTAGAGGTATTCTAAACAATCCAGCATTATTTTCGGGATACTCTACTACTCCACTTGTTTGCGTTCAAGATTGGTTGAATATTACATCAACCATTCCAACTGAATTTCAATGTTTCCATCATCATCTGGTATTTATGTTGGAAAAATTTCTACCAAAGAAAGATCGAGTGTTGTTCAACAACTTACAAGATAAATCATCTGTATTAGAATTTCTAGAAAATTATTATAATATAAGACCAAATATTCAATATAATTCAGTGGAATTAACCAAGTGCAATTTTGATATTTCATATGTACATCATAGAAAAAAATTTATTAATTACTGGGAAGATGATTCATTTAATAATTTGTTGGGAAATATATTTGACGCAAATTCGTAAAAAAACATGTTTTTATCTTTTTAAATCTATTCCTACTTTTCTAGACAAAAAGAATTTTAATTTTTTCCAGTATATTTTAAAGAATTTTTGTTGAAAAAATTTGTATTTCTCTATGCATTTTTCAAATTTTTTCCTGTACAAACAAAATTTAAGATATAAATTTTATTTATGTATAAAAAATTTTTACATACAATGATTTTTATAAGAAACTCCTAAATTACCGGCGAGGTATCTCGTCGGTACCTAAGACAAATTTTTTAAAAACCCGTTTTATATATGTCATTTTATTTTATTCCTCTCAGATTTCATACCTACAGGGATGCGTTCAAAAATTCTACCTGTGGGGTAAAGTAGCGTTTAATTGACCAATCATGACAAAAGAAGCAAATAATTCGTGTCTTGATTGGTCATTAATAATACTATTTACCTTACGGGTAGGATTTCTGAACACAACCCAGATGGCAGTAAAACCTTTTTTTTAGAAGAGAGAGTTCTTTCTCTTTGTTGTCCTTCTTGTTTCTATTTTTATTCCAATTTGTTTATTTTCACAAAATTAAGACAATTTTCGCTGATTTTCGCGATATTTTAACTAGTAATAAATGTAATACTGTATGTATGATTATTATTATAGATAATATTTGAAAATATTATCAGTTAGTGAACTTTATAAAATGAGTTATTATAATACACGTAAGTCTTGTACAAAATATTTTCTGTCTTGCATTGGTCTATATTTATAGCATGCATTCATACAACTCTTACGAAAATATCGCTAATTACCATGCATAATTATTAAACATTACTAATTTCCGAGATTGAGATTTGTATGCATTATATGAACTATTTTCTTTGTATTATGTCTTTAACTTATTAATAAGATTATTTAATACAGAATTGTTAGTGTTTATTTATCAAAAATTCCTTCTTTAAGCCTATCTGACTCTCCTTGGTTCTAATCTCCCTAACAAATTGATATACAATTATCAAAGTGTTTTCCATTCACTTGAGATACAATATAACGAGAACAAAAGATTATAATTTAACATGTTTCTAGATCTGACAGAAGAATGTCCTTTAACGAAGGAAAAAAGTTACAAGTATAGATTATGTAATTACTGTGGCAATGGATTAAATTTTATCATTGTCTGCTTTGTTGCATTGACTTTTGCTATCACTACTATGTTGGTGTTGCAGATTCTTTATACTGAAAATATACCGCAAGTAAATATCAAAAAAAAAAAAGATACAAAAAATATATAGTGATAAAAGATTGTAACAAAATTCCATTTATTTTAGAATAGTCTTCATGGTATTCATGGAGCAGTTGCCACAGATTATTCAAATTGTTCTCAAATTGGTACCAGAATATTAAGAAAATTAGGCAATGCAGTAGATGCTGCAATAGCAGCAACCATTTGCATGACTGTAGTAGCACCTCATAAAACCAGTCTTGGCGGGTGAGATATAAATTAAAATCTTGGTCACATTGTGTTCTTTAATGCTTTTTTCTTTCCAGAGGTGGTTATATAATGATATATAATTATAAAAATGACATTCATCCGATTGTTATTGATTTTGCAAGTAATACAGGCAAAGGTTTTTTTGCTAAAGCTGGAGTTCGTTTACCAGCTCTATTAAAAGGATTAGAATTTGCTCACATATTATATGGCAATCTGCCATGGCATGATGTAGTAGAACCCTCTGTCAAATTGGCTCGAGAAGGTTTTGTTGTATCTAAGGATCTTGTGGATGAAATATCAAAAAATACAGATTATGGAATGCTTTATAATGGTCCTTTGAATCCAGGTGATATATTACAATTACACGGACTTGCTAACACATTAGATATGGTGGCAGAATATGGTGTAAAAGGTACACTTTATGTATTACATTACTTTTGTAATTTTATCCAATTTTAGATAATAATTTTCATGTTATCTTACCTTGATTTTCTTAAATTAATTATATTAAAACTTCTATATATTATTATATTAAATTAAAACTTATTAATTTTTTCTTCTAGTATTATACAATGGTACTTTGTCATATAAAATTTTACACAGTAGTAATTTACATGAAGATTTACTGCAAGAATTAGCAAGTTACAAACCCACTGTAACAATTGCAAAAAGTTCAACATTACATCATCATACAATTTATTATCCTTCTCACGTGTCTCTTATGCAAACAGTAATTGAAGCATTGGAGAGCCTTCCAATTTTGACAGGAAACGCGTCCACAATAGAATCTTTAGCTCTTGTCGCACAGACATTGATGCATATATATTCGTTTGCTCCCAGTGGTGAGTCATATCGCTCTAATTATTACTAGCAGACATAATTACCTATTAACCTCATGATCACGATTTTAGTAATTAGAGAAGCATATACTGGAGTTATGGCAATGGATTGGCAAGAAACATATGTTAGCGTTTTATCGTTAGTAGCTCAAATCATTTATATTTACATACCTAACTATATATTTCGTTGTATTAATATATTATAAATGATGCAGTGGTTTAAGTTCACCTTTGGGTTCTGGAAATATGACGGACGCTGGATTTTTATTAGATAATATCGATGGTATTATGGATTTATCTACATTTACCCCTATTATTTTCCATTATGAAGAGAGAATATGCGGATTACGTGGAGTGTTTGGTTCGGACGATGTTTTCCTCAATGGGCAAATCCTCTATAATCTTATTGTTCGTACTCTTAACGTTTCCGCCGCAATAGAATATCCCCGGTACATGAAAAGACTTAATAATTTTAGATAATTTGATAAAATATTGGTCTGCGCGCGCTGTATCATTTTATTTATTTTTACAGATACAATTTTGGTTCTGGCGATATAATGATAGAACATAATCAAAGACATTCGATAGAGACTGCGTTGCAGGCTCGATTATATCCCATGATATCATCATTACCTATTGTCAATAGTGACGAGAGATTACTTATAAAAAGCATAAATGCAATTATTAAGAAGAAAGATTCGCTATCAAGTCACTCCGATAGTCGTGGAAACGGAATAGCATCTCGATATTAACTTCTTGTTATAAGCAAAAAAATCAAAAATCTTAAGAATCTTGAATTGCATAACACTGTGATATTAGAAAATATAATTCTACATACTTAGACGTTATCACAAATACTTGTGGACATATGCAATAAAAAAACGGCCGATTTTTAAAGTAATATCGTTATAAAGTTGAAGTGGGAAAAGGCAGATTAAATATTAAATAGTAAATATTAAAATATCTGATATTCTGTATTATAATACTATTTTACATACATGCATACATACATTCATACATACATTGTTGCAAAACTGAATAAACTTATGCATCAGTTTGCATGTAATATACATACATACATATACAAAGAACAATGTTTTCCACATCACATTGCTCTCTATTTTCTCTTTGCATTAAAAAAAATGTATTTTTAAGAAAATATTTGTACATATAATGTACACATGTAAAAAATGACATTTATATATATATATAATAAATAAATTATATCTTATTACCATTGTTACACCTTAAGTTGTTGTGTCTCAATTTTGTACTCTTTACTTAAATCTAGTTGCCTAATCCTTGCATAAAATGCACTGGCGGTAAGCACAATGATATTACTTATCCACCAAAGAAATGATTTTTCTTCTTTGAACCAATAAGTTGCTAAGACTGTTTGAGCGCATGCTTTTGCAGTACCACTAACGTTATGTGTTAAAGGAGATGTGACCTTTATTTGAAGCGCGGTTAAATATCCGATGGCAAAACCAAATATACCACCGATCGTCATAGCACCCCAAAAAAGAGGATGTCCAAGCTTCTCGTAATTATATACAATTGTCTGTTCACCATTAATTATCATTAAAGGAATAAAGATAATAATACTATACATATTGTTATAATAAGAAAGTAACCAAATGTCGTCATTTACGGCAGGCAATGTTTGCTTCATACGGATAGAATATAAGGATAACAGTAATGATCCAAGCACGCCGAAAAATGTTCCAGAAATGGATAGAGAACCTGCTACATGCTCCTGATCTACACCCAACCAAAACCCAGAGATAATTACTGCACAGCATATTATGCATTTGAAAGATGTTGTTTGGCCTGTAATTTTTGTCAATTAATTTTTCCAATAATTTCTGATCAAAGTTTTTGTTTAAAGACTTATTTTTGTAAATTTCTTACCAAGTAAGATATAGGTAAACACCACATTAAATACAGTCGTTAGTGAACGGCCTACATAATAAAAAGCGACACCAACATATTTTAAACACAAGTTATTAGTTGCTATCATTCCAGTAAACAGGAGTGATAATGGCAGTACCTACAAAAGTTTGTTTTGTTTATATAAATTTAAGATCATTCTTTCACACATTTTAATTTTTTCAAAGTTTTAATAAATTTATTGAATATTAGTAATAAATATTTTTCTTTCAATTTACAATATTAAATATCACAATTTACATTGCTGAACATAAATTAAAAATAGCAATACAAAATTTTTTGTGAATTAAATAATCTGTTTTTAATTACTTATCATTATTTTTAATAAGTGAAAAATAGTAATAATTATATAATATTGTTAATACAAATTATATACCTTTTTCAAAATGTCTTTTCTAAATGGGCTACCATCTGCAATTTCAATGTATCTTGGGAACCATTGTGACAGTTTGCGTAAAGTAATGCAGATAGTTACACTCACTATGCATTGAAACCAAGTTACAAACAGAGGAGCATCCAAGTTCACAGCTTTACTGGATAAGAGTGCCTTATTTACAAATACAGTCAAAATGGATACTATCCTGAAAATTATTTAAAAATATATATAGTTTTATATATATATACACCTAGAAAATTATAACAAGATCTATAGCAGAATTATGCTTATCATATTTTCTGCACTGTAAAAAAATTCAAAAATATAAGGGTATTTAATATAATTGATAAAGTTGAGAGAGAGAATATGTAAGCAACTTGATATTATTTTACGACTCACCAGTAGGCTGCAATTACAAATGTAATGTATATGTATTTGGATGTAAGTCCTTTTTCCAAACTCATTTTAAAAAAATTTATATATATTTTTGAAAAAAATTATATATATATTTATTTCTCACAGTCAAAAAATGCGGATAAATTATTTATGTGGTTATAAATAATTATGTAGAACTAACAGTTTGTATTGGGTATCCTGTCAAATTATTGTTTCCTGTATATTATTATACAAATATTATACAATAAACAACCACATAGAATCAAAATATTTCAATGAAATGTCAAATAATTAAAAATCATATAAAGTGTATATAAATGTATTAAATTGGCACATAAACATTTATGTATCTAAAATGTAAAGTTTTACTTATGCTGAGGCATACATATATAATGACAGTTGACAATAACTCAATTATATGATAAAAGCTTATGTTTGACATTATTCTTTTATTTTTAGTTATGCACTACACTTTTATTTTAGACAATATTCAAATGTTGTCGATTTTTGGTTGGATGTGCGGCATCATGTCAGATAATTGAGGTTAAATAATATGATAGAATTTTTTTCCAATGTTTTTCAAAGATCCTCTGATATTTTTAAATTGATATATCAAATCAGATTCTCAATTTAGTGAAACAGTATTTAATGAAATAATTAAACTATGATATATAATAAAATAATTTTGCAATTTAACTTTATTAAAAATGTGATAATTTGACATGCACATATAGTTAATTTCCTTGGCAGTTATCAGCAGTTATCTCGAGATCGACACATACACATTTTCTCTATATATACGTTTTAAGATTTCCCTTATTGTTTTAATAGCACATGTGCAACCTGCAGAATGAAACTATCGTATTGATAGCGCGCTATTTTTTATTCACTTTCTCTCTCTCTCATGTGTTTATCACATGGCAATGTGATAGCGTTTCCCCGAACGCATCCTGAGTAGTGTGATAAGTGGTGACAAAAGTAGAAAACAGAGCGCAAGAGAAGGAACTTGTTTAGAGTTTTAAAGTGTTTAAAAAACTGATCAATGATGGAAAAATTCGCGAGATGTGTAATGTAATGTAGAGAGTACAATAATTTTTTTTTTTTTATTATCTTT